ATTTGACTTGGTCAACCAGGTTGACCCAATCTGGGTCTGGGCTCAATAGGTTTGAAATGACATTTCAGTCAAATTACTTATTTGGACCCTTAAGAGCTTATTTGGTCAACCTAGGTTGACTTGGTCAACCAAGTCGACCAAGGGCCTGGGTTTGGATTTGACTGGTTTTAAATGACATTTAGAATTGAATGGAAGTAGTCTCATGCAAAGAGGAGATCATTTGGTTTGAAATGAGTGTTTACACCCCTACGGAATATTTTGGTTAAAAGAGAATAACCTGGTCAATCAGGCTTGACCAGGGTATGGGTTTGAGTTTTATACACTTTTAATGGTGTTTAGGATGCATTGGAGAAGGTTTCAAAGTTTGATTTGATTGGGCCATGTGAAGTTGGAGAAAACTTTAAACTTGCCCTTAAGGGGCATTTTGGTCAATTTAACCCCTGGCCAATTGAGGGTCAAAGTGATTCCTCCAAAATATATATTAATGATCAAGGGTATGGATGTGATTAGAGGCTTTGGAGAATGCTCTAAGATCAAAATCTAATGGATGACAGGTCTAGTGGTATAGACTATAAATATTTGAAGGTTTAACAACCTTTGGATTTCAATTCAGTTTATGGGGTTAAGACCTCTGATTGAGCTCAATTTAGAGGGTAGACCCTAGCCTAATTAATATGCAATTGATAGATCATGAATCGGTGGTCATTTACATGGGATTTGAGATGTTTGAAAAATCACTAAAAAAGACTTTCAGGATATAGGCCTTTAGCCTTAGATTTTTGGTTTGGATCTCTGGATTTAATTTGGATTTTGGAATTGAATGATTGAATTTGAGTTATCCAAGTCAGTTACAATTAATTGAATGATTGTCATTGATTGGATAAGATTGAAGCTATATTGGAGAATGATTTGAAGATTGGATTAAGTGTTGATTAAATGTTGGATCAAGACTGGATTGACTCGAAGTCTAGATAGGTTTGAAGTTTGAATCGATTTGTGATCTGGATTGATTTGAGATTAGGATTGATTTAAGGTTTGGATTGGTTCAGGGTTTGGATTAATCTAAAGTCTATATTGATTTGGGTCTGGATTAATTCGGGGTCTAATTTGATTTAGGGTCTTGATTGATATGGGGTCTAGATGGATCCCAGTGACCTCATACAAAAAAGAGTTCAACAATATAGTGGCAGACGCTTTGAGCAGAAATTATTTTTGATTTTTAAGCCTTATATTCACTTCTAATGATCTTTGAACTCGATATATATATATATATATAGTTAGAAGTGATTGCTCATAACGATCAAGATTCTAGTATTCAGATAATTATCCAACCATCCCTTCAAAAAGGATTCAAGAAGCCCAAAAGTTAAATCCAGAGTATCTGAGCTTATTGATTAAATCAAATCTTGTAATAAATTTGAACTATATTTATCTGATTATGATATCATTTTTTATAAGAATAGATTATGGGATCTTAGTTCTGGAGATCTGAGATAAATGATTCTACATAAAATACAATATTCATGTTATATTATTAATCTATGATGTGTAGTGATCTGAAAGGAATATTCTGTAGACTCAAATTAAAGAAAGATGTAGCAATTTTTTTTCGAAGTGTTAAGCTTATTTGTTAGTGAAAGCCAAGCATCAACTATCGGGAAGTCTTTTATAATAATTTCCTATTTCAGAGTGGAAATGGAAGTGGAAATGGAAAGAAGTGATGATGGATTTTGCTTTAGGACTCCTTAGATCGAGGCAGGATATGATGTTATCTAGGTTGTGGTAGATCGTCTAATGAAGTTTTCACATTATATTTTGATTTGACAAGTGATAATTTTGGATAGAAATGACATATTTTCCTCCAGCTTTAGAGGAGAATTCAACTAAGTATGGGCACTAAACTACATTTTAGTGTGGATTTCCATCCACAGATCGAATAATAATCTAATAAGACAATTCATGTATTGAAAGACCTAAGATTGTGTGTTCTGAATTTTAGTGGAAGTTAAAAAGATTACGTACCTTTGATCAAATTCACCTAGAACACAAATTTTCAGTTAAATATAAGTATGATCCTTTATAAAGCTCTGTATGATAGTAAATGTAGAACCCTTACAAAGCTCCCTACGATATAATTTTAAATATCTTATAGTAAACCTGGGGTCTCATTTATGTTATCCCTCTTCCACTTCCATATAACTTTAAGTAACAAAGCTCATGTTTATGGCTAAATATTTCTAACAATTCAATTAGTTTTGGGAATCACTTGTAGAATGAACTCACCATTACTGACGATGTCTACACTAGAATGTAACAGTTGTCAGAGTCATAGAATATTATTGTCTTTGAAGGGAGTGATATCTTAGACACTATACAATAAAATTTGTTTTAATTTAATGGATAATGTATAAGCTTTATATCAGCTCAAGATATATCAAGAACATATATTCATCTCTAGTTAATTACATTAGTACAAATTTATGGACATGAAAATTATATTTTCTCTTCAACTAATTCTACACAGAGATTGATGCTCTATAATACTAATTAAAGATTTCATCCAAAATTTTAATGCTCAATTCATAAGTCTTTGAGTAGCTTCATATTTGCTCCCTCGGTAACACAAAACATTTATATACTACAAAAAAGATTAAAATTTTATAATGTAATAAATATACGAATAGAATAATTACCATGCTATCTAGCCATATTATTGGTATATTTAACTATTTAAACCAAGTTATGCTTCAACTAATCAATCTTATCTCCCTTGCTTAGGATTTCTCTTCTGATCTAGTCATCTAAGCCTTGAGGAAAGATAAATGCTCTTCATCAATCGAAGAAAGAGGATCAATGGCGTGTAGATCCATCTAGTTTGTTAATTTTATGAAATGGATATATGAAATATCTAGTAAAATACTTTGTATTATGTACTCTCCTTCTTTGATAATCTATTGACTTTACATATGCTTTAGGCACAATAACAAGATATGGGTTATCATCTCCAATCTCCTTCACCATATCATCTGTAGATACAACAAGAAGAGATAATATGTACATACTATGTTAAGAGATTGATTAACATTCCAACCTTCACCATAACAACTTCAGTCTCTAAAGCAAAGATAAAAATATATATTGGCAAGGACCACCATGTTATCTTCTTCCTTTTCCTCATCATTTATGACCTCAACATGCATGGTTGAGTTATCAATAATAATCTTCTTGCTACTTTCCTTATTTCCACTCATTTGTGTGGCAAAATCCACATAATTGCTCTCCTTGTAAATGTATAGAACATTTTGAATATAACCACTTAGAATATCCAATTTTTACTTGAATCTTAATAAATTTTATATCTAATATAAGTTGGTTCTTCCTAGCCCCACTAATAATTGCAAAAAATATGCTTCAATTTATTAGAGAAGAACATAGAATGAAAAAAAGGAAGGCAAGGAATAGTCTATATTTTGCCTTTAATGCGCATCATGCCTTTCTTCTTTGTAATTGTGATCACCATACATGTACAAAATGTATGATAGTCACGTTATTCTTCACAAATCTAATTGGGAGAGGCCGAAAATGAAAACAGATAATTAACTTACATAACTCTTCTTCATTAACTCTACTCGCCTATGTGTAGATAATAATCCCCTACCAAAAATAATTTAATGCATGCTTAAAAATTAAGTTATAATAAAAATTATTTTAAACTAATATTTCAAATATAATAATTTATAGATAATTTAGAACTTCATTAATTAAGAATAACAAAATATCTATGCGAGTACTACAATATTTTAGGATGAGATTTTTTTTTTCAAGGCATTTCCCTCATACTACAAAATATCCTATTTAGTCCTTTCAAAGTCAATAAAAATTGTGTTGATTGCACAAGAGTTTAGAGAAAGAATTATTCATGCAACATTACCTTTATATAAAAGACATCATATTTTTTTATTAAAATTGATGATTTAATATCATAATGAGCATACATAACCATTGTGTTAGTTTGTTCATTGAGAAATATTTATTGTGTGAATTAAGCATGCTCATTGTGTTAAGAAAAAGAAAAAAAAATCTTTAGGCTCTCATCCTCTCTTTCCATCTCTCAAAACTCAAATAAAACAAAAATGCTTGAGAGTATTTTAATGTTAAAATTTTGTTCCTCGGAAGATAAAAAATCATGGCTTGAACTTGATAATTTTTTGAGGTCAAGTTCAAACTCAAGCTTAATCTAATAGTTCGAGTCGGCTTGCAAGCTATCTCATTTATTATGGCATTAGCTCAAGCCTAATTTGTTTATGAGCAAATGAATTAAGTTGGCATTAGTTCAAGCCTAACTGTTTTAGCTCATCGAGCTCAGCTCATGATTCATTTATCGAAAGGAGCCCAAGTTGGTCCGGTTTGTCCATTCTCGACTGATATGTTGGCGAAATAAAATGTTTTGACTTAACATAGTAGATTTGCTCTACATGCTTCAAATTGTTTCAAAATTGAAAATAGTATTTTATCTCAAAAAATGATATATTAAATATTACATGCTTATAAATTTTATGTTTAATATTTAAAAAATAAAAAATTGTCAAGATATTATAAACCAAATTTATATTCAATGGATTTAAATATTATTAGATTTATTTTAAAATTAATGCAACAGAAATTCTTCATAAATAATACTAAATTTAAAGTATTTATTTATTTTTAAACTATAATTATATATTCACAAAATATAATGTGTATATAATTTAAAAAATAAAAAAAATTGTACATAAATTAAATTGGGATTGGCCACCCCTCTTATACTGCCGCCGAGGCCAGACCGGGGACCGGCCGACAAAATCAGATCCCAATATGGTTACCATTACTCCAGCCCGAAAAACGTGAAAGCCAGAAAGGGTGGATGGCATGTGCGGAGCGCCACGCGAATTAAATCGAGACAGACGGGCGGGCGCGAGATCTGGCGCGATCTCTAACAATTAGGGCTCGCGAGGCTCCCCACCTGGGAAATCCATTTACTGGTCCCTACTTTTAGCCACTATAATGTTGCCACATTGGTTGGTCCCGACCTCTTCCCCTCGCCAGAATTGATCATCGAATCTCGCTCTGCTTCGCCAGTTCGCTCACCATTCGCCCGAAATCTCCATGACCAAAAAGTTGTGGCTCAGATTCCCCCAGTCCTGGCCTACTCTTATGGTTTGCGACCTTACTGTAGAGAGAGTTAGGGTGGAACTGCGAGGAGAGAGGGAGAGAGAGCGAGGGTTCTGGAGTTAGGCATGCCGAATCGACAGCTCCCTTCGCCGGCCATAACAGCCTCCATGTTTCTACTTGTACATAAACCCACGATGGCAAGATGGGCGATTGTAGATAGGATTGCACTGGGTGCTAATGTGAGGCGAAGGAGATCAAGGGAGGAGAGGAATAGAGAGATAGACATGAGGCTGCGACCACCGGAGTTTCTTTCCTGTTTCTATGGTTTCTTTGGTGAGTGACCGCTGCCTCTTCTTGGCGTTTTCCTTTCTTTTTTCTTTTGGGCTTGTTTGTTGTCCTGTTACTCCCTGCATATCAGTGAATGCATTAGGTGCCCGACATTTCAGTTGGGAACATGCATGAAGAATTTAACCGTTTCTTACTTATATGAGTTAGGGTTGATTTGAAACCGTTTGTCTCATCCGTGGTTCATTTACATTTCGGAATCAGTAATGGGAATGAGCCCAGTGAGGGAGCTGGCTAAGGTGACTGATTTATTTTGGAAGCTGACATTTTATTTATTCGTTTGTTGTATGTTTGTTTTCTTAACTCGGGATTTGCAGATGAGAAAACCTTACACGATTACGAAGCAGCGAGAGAAGTGGACAGACGAGGAGCATAACAGGTTCTTGGAAGCGCTCAGGCTGCATGGCAGGGCATGGCAGCGTATTCAAGGTAATGATATTCATGAGCTTTATTTTAAGTGCAGGCTTCTAGTTTGTATTTATCCATTTGTTGATTTTGCTTTCTATTCATCTACGAGGCTGCAAACTGAACTTGGATCATGCCCTATTTCAAAGATTTGACTCAGTGCATCAAAGATATATTATGTTTGATATATCATTAAGAAATTATCTTGATTGGGCACGAATCTTGAGGCAAAATTAAGTTTGAAACTTCCGAAATTAAATAACCATATGAACTCTGATCTCAGCAAATTTACAGTCGAATTGAACGTCTCGAAAATACAAACCCAACGACACCAAATTCGACTCAATCCGAGTCCAAATGAGTCCAAATCAAAGACCCAAAGTGCATTTGAAAAGTTCAAACCATAAATGGATGACCAAACGATTTCTAAATATGACATGCTTATAGTCGAATCGAGCAACTTGAGAAAAATCCAACGAGCCCAAGATCGTTGAATTCTAACATTATTAAGACATTCAAATGCCCAATAAATGGTCCACGATCAAGGGGATCAATATCGGTCATCCATTCAAACTACTCCCTATGTACCCTTGATCTCCGTCCTATTTACTGTCCATTCTACTCTCAGAAAATTATAAATAGACCCCTCCTTCCTCATTGAGGGAGACTCTAGCAAGGAAGATAAGGAAGAGAGAAACTAGAGTTCTCTTGCCATCAGACTCCTCATTGACCACCGTCGAACCACCGAACATTGTTGGACTATCGCCGAACTTCTTCCCGGCCACCGACTGACGCTGAACTTCTGCCCGGCCACCAATTGACGCCGGGCACCACCAACTGATGCCTTACTTTTGTCCGACCACCAACTGACGTCGGACTTGTGCCCAGCCACTAACTGACGTCGGACTTCTGCCCGATCGTCGAATGACGCCAGACTTCCGCCTGACCACAAGCTATCGTCAAACTTATGCCTGGTCACAAACCGACGCTAGATTGACACCCGACCATCAATTATTGTTGGTCCTTCTAACCACCGTCGCCCGACTACGGCCTTTTTGACCACCGTCGCCCGCCGACTGCGGTTCTTTTGACCTCCGTCGCAAGACTATAGTCTTTCCAACCTCCGTTGCTTGTCGACTATGATCCTTCCAACCCCCGTCGCCAGATAATGGTCTTTCTGACCATTGTCGCCCATCGACTGTGACCTCTGTCACCGGATAACAATCTTTCTGACCTTTTCGCCCGCTGACTATGACCTCCGTCGCCAGACTACTGACTTTCTGACCTCCGTCGCCAGACAACGATCTTTCCGAGCTTCGTTACTTGTTGACTACGGTCTTTCCGACCTTCGTTGCCCGTCAACTACAACCCTTCCGACCTTTGTGGCCTGCCGACTACGGTCCTTCAGACCTCCTTTGCTAGACAACAGTCTTTCTGACCAATGTTGCCCACCGACTATGGTCCTTTCGACCTCCGTCGCCAGACTACGGTCCTTGTGACATCCGTCAACAGACAATGGTCTTTCTGAACTTTGTTACCTGCCGACGACGATCCTTCTTACTTCCATCATCAGACAACGGTCCTTTCGACCTCTGTCGCCAGACTACAGTCTTTCCAACCTCATTCGCTCGTCGACTATGGTCCTTCCGACCTCCGTCGCTAGATAACGGTCCTTTCATCCTCCGTCGCCTGCTGACTACTGTCATTCCGACCACCATCGCCTGACTACGGTCTTTCCCACCGACTATGGTCCTGAACGAACATGTTAATACTGATTCTTCCAATTCCCACCATGTAATGCACTTTATATGATGTATATTTGCTATACTCATTTGTAATTGATTGCAAACACTAGTGGATTCATTCAAACTGGGTTAGGCCCCATGGGTTTTCCCATTTTTTAGGGGTTTTCACAAAAAGATTTTAGTGTCTCTTATGAATGCTACACTATCTATTTTATTTGACTCTACTTTATCTGATTGTGTACTGGATATTTGTACAAAGCTAAGACCTTAAACTTTACATTTCTCTATCGCCGTGAATATTCCATGACACAACAATGTTAGTTCATTCTACTCATAAATTTGTGAATAAGCTTGTTGTGTGCTTGAAAATTTGTGGGTTTCTTATGAAGATCCAACACACATAACAAAAAAGAATGCAGTTGACGCTACAATTTTTTTTTAAGAAACTCGACGAAAGAAAAAAAATCATAGGACCTGTTCCAGATGAAATGATCAATTATATAGATAAGTCGCAAAAGTCCACTTTTTCTTTAAAACATGAAAGGCCTGCTAAGAATTTTTGTTGTTGTTGGCCAATCTATCATAAAAATGCAACCTCCATAGACTATGTAAGAGGTCTAAAGTGTTTGCTTAACATAGAAACGTGGGATATATCAAAGATAAATTCACTTGTAAACTATTGCTTAAATTCCTTGATACCTACCTTGATTTGTAAACAGCATTTTTACTTTTGTACCATTGATGGTTTAAGATGTGAGATCGACAAGAGCATTAGGGAGCGATGGTGTAAATCTTGAAGAACCTATGGCTGATAATTATTTTTTGTACTAGTTGGCAAACATAAACTGTTTCCCAATGACATGAAACCTAATCTAGGCTCAAATTGAAGGATCATGCTTTTTGTTTTTGAATCCTTGGTTTTATTTGGTTGAGGAAAAGATATTTTTCTTGTGTGATGGATTTCAAGGATTTTATCTCTAAAGATGGTTTAATTTTATATAAGAGAAACGGAAAAAAAATTTCCCTTTTAAATGTTTAAATAGAATCTGGGATTTATTTTTAACATGCTGTAAAATAGCAGATATGTTTGTAAAGGTTTAAATTTGCAGCATTTACATTTGATTTGTGTTTGGAACTTTCCACAAAATTGACCATCTTTCTCCATTTTGAAGACTGCTTAGAGCATGTGTTCCGGTTAGAAAATAGAACTAGCCTATTAATAATACACGATGACAGCAGATGTTACAGCGCTGTAGTTTATTGTCATACTTGCTGTAGTTTTTTTATCTGGTCCATTTAAGTTGAATCATCTTTGTTAATAACTTTTGAGAAAGCTAAATTTCTTTATAGAATCAATTTATGCAATTATTATCATTATTCTCATTTTTTAACAGCTCGTCTCAATTTTGGATATATATATTTCATTGAATTAAGATACTATCTTATACTTAAAACTTAAAAGCACAATGGCATTTGTCATTGATCTCATCTCTTTCCCTCTAAGATAAGATGGATCATGAAAGCATCATGTAAACTTAGAGATTTAAGGCCCAATGAATTAAGCTTATGTTCATTGTGATCCATGCTCTATGCGATCATTTGAGTTCCAATATCCTAATTATATTGGAAAAAGTGAATGTTTAGTTTCTATGCTTGAGCAAGAATACAAGGTAAAATAAAAGAAATTGATGTAGAGCTAGATGCGTATGTAAATATCCAATGTTGAAATTAAACGCCTTAGATTAGAACAACAATTATTCTATCTTTTAGCGATTTAAATAGAGATTAAATACAATAAGAGGGGTGATGTAGCTTAGGCCAAATTACACGATAATCGTTTAGGATCACAACATTAATAAATTCAATCAAGCTTAGCATAACATGGAGGATTTTCAAAGGAAATCCCTAAATTAACATTTAGACTAGTCACTATTCGGAAATCCCTAAATTTTTTTTCCCATTTCTGTAACAACTCTTAAATTAAAATTTTTTTTCACAATCTTATGATGCCACAATTGAGAGGGATTGAGAAGGAATAAGGTTTGGGAGAGAGTTTACCTTCGTCGAAACTCGGAAGAGAGTAGACAGCAAAATACGAAGTACTGGAATTTCTGGACAACAAACGGGGATCTTCTGGACAGTAGGACAGCGAGGGAGACTTGCTGAAACTTCTGGACAACAATCTAGAATCTCCCGGGCAGCAAGACAACAAAGAGGAATGGCTGAAATCTCTGGACAGCAACTTGAACTGCTCTTGGACAGCAAATTGGGTGAACGAAAGAGGTGGGACAACAGCCTTTAAGTTGACGAAATTTTGTAGGAGTCAATGCTAAGGAGGAGGAAGTTGAGTGGTCGGCCAAGGCTAAGTAAATAGGGCTGTTTTGGTTCAGATTTTCGTCGTGGACTAGGAGGGATTCAATTCAAATTTTTGAAATTAAATTTAGATTTGATGATGGAGATAATTAGGGAACTTGATTTTAATTTCTCTAAAATGAAAGATAGAAAGAGAGAATAAGGGGAAGGGGCGGCCAATTGGCTCCTTAATTGGAGCTCCCAATTGGGAAGGAAGCGATTAAAAAGAGGGAAGGGGTGGCCGGTGGTTAGGGTTTGGAGGGGAAGGCCGGCGGCTATGGGAGATGGTGGGGCTAGGGCCGGCGGTGTGGCCTCAGAGCCGGCGGTTTGGAGGGAGGAGGTGGTGGTAGCCAACGGTTTGGAGGGGAGGGGGGAAGATGGCCGACGACTTGGAGGGAAAAGAGGGGTGGCCTGCGATTTTGGGAGGGAGGAGGAGATTGACCGTGAGCTCGGACGCTTCTTGCGGCTGACGGGTGATATGTTGCCCTCACTTAGGGACTTCAACTCTCTCAAGAGCTCTCAAGACTCACCAAGACATAAGTGGAGAAAATAGTTTCATGATAATCATCATCCCCTCTCAAGAAGAGAAAAGTGGTATAAATAGTCAAGTACAATAGTAAACATGAAAAGACAAAAGTGCCCCTCAGGGGTCACAAGAACCTACTCTCAAAAGTGAGGGTAAAATCGGAAACAATACAATAATAAATAAAATACAAATAATAACTCAGAAATAAAGGGATGCAATCGTGGCCGTCGATTTTCGGCCCTATCTCTAATAAACCCTCCACTATCAGATGTCCTCATAAAAAATTTATGTAAACTATATATGCTGTTGTTTTCTTTAGATTAAAGTTCTAAGTAAATTTGAAAACCCTGGCTATTCCATGTGAACTGAATGTGGCCGAATTCTATGGTTAGATAGTATTACATGGGCTGGTTCACTGTCACTTCACATTGGATCCAACCAAGCACTCCTGTGGTCGTGGGTTTATAATCTCAGAATGCATGAATTACCTATGGCTACAGCACAACTCTCCCTATGCATCATTCTCATCATCAAATAATGGAAAGTTTTGGTTGATTGTAATTTTAAAAATAAAGAAAAGAAACGTTTCACTTTTAGTTCTCATATTTTCCCCTTTTACTGCTCGAAGATAGCATCTTGGATTTTAATTTGGATTTCTTAGAATTATGCAAGTATTGTTACAGAAATGGGAAAAAAAATTCTAATAGATTTACATTATACTTCTTTATTGATTTGTCAACTTACATCTTGCTTGATGCAATGCAGAGCATATCAGTACAAAGACTGCTGTTCAGATAAGAAGTCATGCGCAGAAGTTTTTTTTAAAGGTTGAATTACATTTCGCTTATGATTAGCTTTACTTGCACAATCTAGGATTCTTTTTTTTTTCCATTTAAAACTTATTTCAGCAATAAGTTAGTTGCATGAATTTCATTGACCAATGCTTCTAAAAGGCTCATTTAGTCTAGGAGAGAATTTTATTTATTTTATTTCTACTTTATTTTTTGAACTTTTAAATTTAGTTCCACTTATTTGCTTCATCTACTGCTCAAGTTGGCTTGAACAAATTTTGAAGTATTTTGCATTAAAATTTTGCTATTGAGCAGAAATGCTAGAACTGCAGGTTTGGCTGGCATAACCTTTCAGATATATCCAAAAATCAGTGAGGAGATCCTTTATTACAAAAGTAAACATTAACAGGCATCTGATAGGAAGTGCTGGTAGAAATTTAGGAAAAGCCTTGATTGAAATCTGATTTCAGCAATTTTAGAAAACCACCAATACAAAAACTAGGAATAGAATACACAATAACACTTTTTTTATTGAAAGTTTTATGGAAGAAAATACAAGATACAAGTGATCTTCAATTGGAGAGAAAGATCCGGCTCTCCCAAATCTCTAGATGCCGCTAGAGCCCAAATACCTAAGAGTGATCTCAAATTTCAGCCAAATTCAAGATGCCCTAACCTTAAGAAAACAAACTATTTAATGCATACAATCCAAAAGGAAATTTCTAAACAGTCCATACATTCGAATTTCCCTCACTTCTCCTAAAACCTTTCTAATATGCTCTTTTGAACTTGGCGGTTTGATCGGCATATGCAGGAGGCGAAACTTCTCTGCCTTTGTTGTCCGTAAGTCGGCCCTGTATCGACCAGCTAAATCGGTCAAGTGGACCGGTCTAACAATACTCTCCTCCCAAACACTCACCTTGTCTGCAAGGTGGAAAGGCGACACCCTCCTCCATTCCCTCGTCATCACAAAAGGTAAGAATCCAAAGAGTTCTGTCCTTACACCTGTGCCCCGGCGTATACCTCTCATCACATTTGAAATAGAACCCCTTTACCATCTTTTCTTGTAATTACGTTTTTGTGAGATTCTTGAAGTTGTCCCCAGGTCTTCCTCCTACAGTATTTTCCTTCGAAGTCCCCCGAAAAGTATCTAGTGTTGGCTCCTTGGATACGAATAAGGTGATGGTCATCCTGTACGAGCCTCCTGAGTTGCTGCCTACCGTTCCTCTCTCTAGGTGCCTCTGATCCTCCACCAACTGAGCTAGCTCCATAGCCTCTCCTAATTCACGAGGCCTCGTCACTCTAATCGCTGCACGGATCTTTGGTTTCAGTCCCTTCATAAAGTTCCCCTCCACTACAGTTTATGAAAGTCGATCCAATCGATTGGCGAGGTACTCAAATTGCTCATGGTACTCCACCACTGCCCCCTCCCTCCTGCATCAAAGCGAAAAATTGCTCATAGAAGTTCCCTCCATTGCTGGTTTGGAAACATCCCAACAAGCAATCCTTAAAGTCCCTCCAAGTTCATATCGGCCGCCTCATATCCCTCCACTGGTACCATGCTAAAGCTTTCCTTTCCAAGCACATCCCGGCTAATGTCAGCCTCTCTCCCTCTATCAACATGTATAAGGTAAAGTACATTTCCACCTTGTAGATCCACCCATAGGCATCCACTCTCTCAAAAATAGACATCTTCAACTCCGCACCCTCAGATTACCTCCATTCCCCTGTTCCCTTCATAATTTCCCATTCTCCAAGGGGGTGGTTCCCCCCAAGTGTCCCAATCATCCATTCTATGTTCATACCCAAGCTTTTCATCAAATTCTCATATTCTCTTTTCAAATTCAACACCCCTTGCATCATAACACCCCCCTTTTCAAATTGTGCCCCCCTTTGGTCATAATTACCCCTTCCATTTCAAATTTCGCCTCTCTCCTCTCCAAATCAACTCCTCTTCATTCTTTCCCTACCTCCTCCCGCCTCTCCCCATAGCCTCTACTCGACTCCTCCCTAGGAATAGGCCTTAGGGGAGGCATTTTTCCTGTTTCCTCCAAAATCTCCACCTCTTGATCTTCCCTTTGTCTGATTGGCTTAGGGTTTTCCCCACTTCCCTGGTTGTCGGTGCCTTCCCTCACATATGATGGCGGTATTTTGGTTTGGACGTTGAGCACTTTCTTCAATATTTCCTCAAGGGTGAAAAAATTCGAATCAATTTTATCATGGATGACTGATATATCTGATGAGGATATCTACTGGATATTCTAGCACGAGGAGACATCGATGATCTACGGCTACGCTCGTATCTTTTATTTTTTATTAATGTATTGTAATTTTATTATTTTAGTGTTATTTTCCGTTTTTACCCTCACTTAGAGGGACTAGATGCATGTAACCCCAAGGGTAATTAGGGTCTTTTGTTTTGTTCTTGTATGGGGCCTATTTATAGCCCTCTGTTCCCTCTTATGAGGTTAATGATGATTGTGAATGAAAAATTTCAGATTTTCTTGTTTGATCTTTTTGTGAGTTCTTGAGAGGAGAAATCTTAGGAGAGGGCCTTGCAACACCCGTCAGCCGCCGGTGGATTCCGGGACTCACGATTAGTACTCGTAGTATTTTCTTATCGTGTCTTCCTTTCCCCTACATATGGCCACCTCTTCTTCCCCAAACAACCGCCGGCCACTTGGCCCACTTCAAGTCCTCAAGCCGTCGGTCAACCTCAATAAGATCCCTTCCACTTAACCCACACCCCTTCTTCCTTAGCCAAACACCACCCAAACCCCAAACCCTAACCGCTGGCCTTCCCCTCCCATGGATCCAAAATTGATTGTCTTGCCTCTTTCCAAAAGTGGAGCATGAAGATTAGGAGGAAACTCCAATTCAAAATCTGATTTCAAATTCAGATTTTAAATTCTTTCTTAAATTGACATAATCCATATTAGGAAAGTGCTCAATTCGAGGATCTAATTTACCTAGCCTAAGCCCTTGGCCGCCGGCTTGAAGCCTCCAAAGCCCACCCCTTTCTCTCCCACCCATCGACCCTCTCCCCTACTACAGCAGTCGGCCCCATACGTTTTCCCCAGCCAAATTTGAATTCAAATCCACCATAAAACCTTTCCTAATTTGGTCCCATTAATTTAGGAGTTGATTTCTATTCAAATTCGATTATTTGAATTTCAAATTTTCTCTTAAATGATCCTCCTCTAATATAGGAAACATTCCCAATTAATTTAAATCTGAAATCAATTTCAGATTTAAATCATCAATCCCCTTAATTGCATGGGTCCACCTCATTAATACCTAAATCCCTCCCTCCCTCTCTCCTTGGATGGCCACCTTAACTGCCCCCCCTTTTAATTAGTTAGATCCCATAAATTAAGGATCTAATTAATTCAATCCCCTCCCCACTTTCCCTCCTAATTCCCAATTGTTTCAAATTTAAATTTCAAAGAAATTAATCCCCAATTACTCACTAGATTTGAAATTATTTTCAGATTTAGCCTTTTTCCCTTCTTCCCATTTTGCTTGGATGAGCCTACCCGACCCCTCTCACTCTCTATTTTCTCTCTTAGTCAATCATGCATGGCCGACCCAGATGTTGATCATGGGTTCGTAGAGGCTTCTCTGGGCCGAACCGGCATTCTCCGATCCCCATTCGTCGATTTCAACTTGGACATCGACAACTCCGTAGAAAGCTACATTGAACGCATCATCTTCACGGTGGCACCGTCAATTGATGAACACCTCCCAATCGGATCGTGGACAATCGTGGGACGTCAACCAATCCATTCGTCGCTGGCTACCTTTCCAACAACAAAGTTCTTGGGCTCCTTCTTCCTAGTGGTGATATCTTCTCTAGTGTGGAGCATCTTCTTTCGCTAACCCCATGAGTGAATGAGCGAGGAGGTCCTCAAGGTGAAACCTCTCATTATTAAATTGGGGATTTTGTTATTGCACTCATAACTTTACTCTTGTCTTTGGAGTTTGATTGAATTATCTTGGTTAATCTAAATTGTACTTCTTTGCCTAAGCAAGTTAAAAACTACGAATTTGTAAAATCTCTTTGTTGTGAACAATAATTTTGTAATTGGAGAAGCTTTAGACAATTGCTCTTCTTAATTTCTCGCTAACTCCTGATAGTATTCACATCAATATCATTTTTTAAATATGAAACTTGAGTTTGGAGATCTGAAATTTCATATTTCATTGTCTGATCTACCATTCGAATACTTCTACCTTTCTTCCCGCCATAAGTCCCCGAATCTTTGTTGGGCTCAAAAATCCAGATTTCCACCACAAAAACAACAAAATTCACGTCCTGAAATAGAAAAAAAATTGCTGCAGGAATTCTCAAAAAACAGCCCAAAAAAAGTCTGTAAACCTCTCTGATATTAATTTGATAGGAAGTGCTTGTAGAAATTTAAGAAAAGCCTTGACTGAAATCTGATTTCTGCAATTTCATAAAACAAACAACAAGAAAACTAGGAATAGAACACATAAGAACACTTTTTTTATTGAAAGTTTTATGAAAAAAAAAAAATACAAGATACAAGTGGATATTCAATTAGAGAGGAAGATTAGGCTCTCCCAAATCTCTAGACGCCACTAGAGTCCAAAAACTTAAGAGAGATCTCAAATTTCAGCCAAATTCAATATGCATTAATCCTAGGAAAACAAACTATTTAATGCATACAATCCAAAAGGAAATATCTAAACAGTCCCTATATTCAAATTTCTCTCATAAAACCTTCCTAATATGCTCTTTTGAGCTGGGCGATTTGATTGACATATGCAGGAGGTGGAACTTCTCAACCTCTGTTGTCTGTAAGCCAGTGCCGGTCCAGTGGACCGGCTGGACCAGTCTAACAGGATCAAAGCATGTCATAGGATGTGGGATGTTGGTAAATAATAACAATTAACAATAGGCTACGCAAGAAATTATGCATACCGTCTTTTTTCATAGGATTTTCCAACAATTAACTGGTTTTTGGTTGATAATTTTTTTTTAAAATCACAATTTTATTGATTATCACTGTAAA